CGACCTGGCCCACGTCCTCTCGCTGCCCCTGCGAATATACTACTACATCAACCACACGTGGCCTTTTGGGAGGTTCCTCTGCTTGCTGTGCTTCTACCTGAAGTACCTCAACATGTACGCCAGCATCTGCTTCCTCACCTGCATCAGCATCCAGAGGTATTTCTTCCTCTACCAGCCGTTCAAAGCCAAGGACTGGAAGCGCCGCTACGACGTGGCCATCAGCGCCCTGGTCTGGCTCTTCGTGGGGTTGGCCTGCTTGCCCTTCCCCATCATGCGCAGCTACGGCCTGGATAAAAACCAAAACACCTGCTTTGCAGACCTCCAAGTGTGGCAGATCAAGAACCAAGTGGCCACCGTGGTGATGACGGGCGCGGCGGAGCTCTTGGGGTTCATCGGCCCCCTCGTCATCATCTTGTTCTGCACTTGGAAAACCAAAGACTCTCTCCGTGGCTTCCAGATCCCCCTGCAGAACAGCGGCGAGAGGAGGAAGGCTTTGAGGATGGTTTCCATGTGTGCCGTCGTGTTCTGCGTGTGTTTTGCACCCTACCACATCAACTTCTTCTTCTACATGCTGGTGAAAGAGAACGTCATCACGGACTGCTTCCTGAGCAGCGTCACGCTCTACTCCCAGCCCTTCTGCCTCAGCCTGGCCAGTCTGGACTGCTGCTTGGATCCCATCCTCTATTTCTTTATGACTTCAGAGTTTCAGGACCAGATCACGAGGCACAGCAGCATGGTCATCAGGAGTCGGCTCATGAGCAAAGAGAGCGGCTCGTCGATTAAGGAATGAGGAGAAAGCCAACTTGAAAGAAGGAAGGTCTGAAATCATGAAATCTGGGACTGCTCTGTGATGCTCCAGCTCCGCTGTGGAAGATCCTGCAGGTCTCATTCAGGAGAGTTTTGGGGCAGTGGAAATCTTTCCACATGTAGAATATAAAACTCTCTTTAAGGCTGGTGTGTTGGAAGGTGATGAGGGACCCAACGGCAGTGACTACAGCTACTGCTGGGCCACCCACCTTGCTGGAGTAGAAAATATACAGCAGAGTGACAAAAATTTGCTAGGAAATGATGGAGACATCCCAGGAGCTTTTCTTCTGGCTCTGTGATCAAGCCAAAGACAATCCCACACCCATACATTGACATCTGCTGAAGTGTCTTCACAGAACCTGAAAGGGGCTGCAGAGGTGTGAAGGTTGGCAGCTTGCTTCAGCCCTCCTGGCTTTGAGTGCATCCTACTGGCCACCACACCTGCCTCTGCTTCACCTTTCCCACTCTCATTCCTTATTTCCTCCTCCCCCAGATCTAAATCTGCTCCTTCATTTCTGACACATCCTGTAACTTGCACCTACAGCTGGTACCAGACACTCTGCAAGAAGGATTCTCCTGATAGCTCCTCAGACACTCCAGAGAGTGGGACCTTCCCTTGCTCCAAGTGACTTTCTTCCTCTCTGAGCTGCCCCCACCAGCAAAGGGGACATCAGGAGGTGGCCTTCACCTTGGGGCCCTGAGGGGCAGGACCACCAGGAGCGTGCTGTGGGCTGCACGGGCTCATTTCTGAAGTAAATGAGTCACTGTGATTTTCTCCACCAGCTCAAACCATGACCTTAATGTTTACATTTTATAACCAGCTATGAAGACTTGAAGAGCAAGAAGAAAGGACATTGTTCACCCCTTGTTTTCACTTAGGGCCAGCTCTTCACCCAATTTGTACAACTTCAGGGCTGGAATCTCACGATAGATGCAGATTATTTTGGCTGAACACAAGCCCTGGTTCATTGCCTTTGACAATCTGTGGCTTTCCCAAAGAGCCATGTACAACTCTCACACCAGTACAAGCATCTTAAATATTGTTACAAAAGGAGAAGAAACACCAGAAACACTCACTAAGCATATTTAAAACCTAACTACTCAATTCCATTTCATTACATTTGAACTCAGCCAAAAAAATATCTGAATATTTGTCTTCCCACTTGACTGTTTTACAATAAAATGAGAAAAAGCCAAAAAAAACCCCAACCAGGTGAACACAAGTTGAAGGTATTGTTACAGTAACTAGGAAACCTGCTCCACATTCTTCTTTCCAAAACCCAATGCTTTAAAAAAGAAATAAATGCATTTTTGCTGACATAAGTTGAGTTTTAGAGTTATCACTTCTACCTAGAGAAGGGAATGGGATCAGCTCCTCCTTGAATAGAAGTTCAAGCAGTGGAGCTCATCATCCTTAAACAGATTGCTTGATTATCTACAGGAAGGTTTTCACCCCACTCTGAAAAAAAATAACCCACCACCAGTGATGTGAAACTACAACACTTTGGGTTTAAAGGTATTTTGGGGAGAGAAAGGTCCTCTGTGGAAGGAGCTGCACCACGGGTGGTGTGTGATGGGTGAGGAGTGACTGCTGTCATCCTTACGTGCAGGCAGGAGCACAGAAACCATCTCCCTGTCCCATCCAACAATGATTTTTTTGCTTTACAGCTTCAAAAAAAAGCATTCACACCATTTATGACCAGATTGGTAAGGCAGGAATTGGGAACTGCAGTCCCCTTGTGACCCTGCTGGAGCAGGGGGGTGGGATGAGATGATCCCCAGAGGTCCCTTCCAACCCCACCACGCTGGGGTTCTGTGTCCTGCCAGGGGAATATCTGCTCCAGCATCTCAGGGTCTGAAGAGTGATGGTGGCTCTCCCACCCTCAACAAGGAATTTGGTGGCTCCATGAGGGACAACTTACCCTGTCACCAGGGTGGTGTCCCTGGGCACCTCGGCTCCTCACGCTCTCCCCTCCATCTTCCTGCCTCACTCACCCTCCAAACTCCTTTAGGCCACCCCAAATCTCTCCTTTTTTTACATAACTCAGCCTCACCCTGCAAGGAAAAGCCACAGACCAGAAAATTCCAGCTTTTCAAGAGCCAAATCACACTTTGTTGTGCAGGAGGGCAGACAGCTTGGTCTGATGGCCTCTATCTGGTGTGTGGGGAAGCATCCTGGTTTGGGCTGGGGTACAGATCAATGGGCTGTGTGGTGCTTAGCTGCCAGATGGGGTTAAACCAGAAAGTTAGCTGAGGTGGTAACGCTGGTGAGGTGGCCTCAGGAGCAACAATTCCCAGGAAAAAGAGATCGTGGAAAAGCTGTGAATTTTCTGAAAGCAGGTAGAAAGTCAAAGAACCTCAGTTTGCCCCCCACAAACCCAGATGTGAAACTCAAAAGCCTTGAGTTCAGGTCCCCCAAAACATCAGCAATGTGTCTGAGGAGGAGAACAGATGAGTCCAGCGTGACTGCTGGAGAGGACAGCATCTCAGCTGCCTTGCTGGGAGGTTCTAAATCCCACCCAAGGCCTGGGGCTGCAGGTGCTGGCTTGGCTTTCAAAGGCTCCACGTGCCCAGCTCCAGTTCCTGTAATTCACCCCATTTCCTGTGGTCATAAACCAGGTTCATTATTTGGACAAGAGGAAATATAATTTCATGATGTTGCTCCTGGATTATCTCTCGTGCCAGGCTCTCCAGCTATAAACAGAGGACACCTTCATCCTTCTTGGGCAGACTCAAAAAAAACAAAGCCTTCAACAGAGGTGCCACAGAAAGGCCAAGGTTAACCCAGTCGAGAGGCTGGGGGCAGCTCTGCAGCTTTGGGAAGGGTGGATCTGAAGGGTTCCAGTGGCAACAAGTGCTGGAGCAAGCCTGTGCCAACCTCACCCTGAAGGGAACTGCTCTGGGTGGAAACACAGCTTTGTTTTCTGTCCTTAAATGAAATTATCAGCCCTCCAGCACAGGGGAAAAAAACCAAAAATACACTGGAAATGCAAGATAACAGCTCAACAATTAAGAGTCAGCTCAAACCCATGAAAACCTTTCACTGCATTTAAAAGATTTCAGGGTGGTGACTGGTGCATTTTGACCAGAAACCTTTGGTCTGTGGATTACACAAGGGCTCAGCCTGGAAAGGTAAGGAGTGGCCAACGATTATTTGCTGTAAAAATAAACCAAAGCTTGGTAAAAATGCTGTCACTGCACAGTGAAGAGGGGGCACCACAGCCACAGGGCACCAGGGGCTCTCCCAGCCCCGTGGGCCACGTGCCAGTGGCTCAAATCAAGCTGTGGCAAGTTTCTGCACACGGGTGAGATGCTTTGTGTAAGAACTCCACCACCTCCTCCTCCTCCTCAATGGGCCCCTGTTTTACATACATCCTTCAGGTGCATCCTGTCAGATATTTCTCAATGCTGAGTGCTTAAAGAGATGCTGATCTGTCACGTTTGGCCTTCTGCCCACAGGATACCAGGCTAAAGGTGAAGACAACTTTTATCTGGAGGCTTTAGATAAAGCCTCACGGTTCTTGAAAAATCCCTTTGTGCCTCCTGCCTTTGGAAGGGTAACACTGCCCAGCATAAAAATGTGTGTTTGGGATTAGTTGTGAGGCAGAGGAGCAGAAATTCCACTATTCTAAATGCTGAACAGAAATACTCATGCAACAGAAAGAAGAATGGAGACGTTGATCAGTGGAAGGAAGAGGTTTGAGGCTTCTCAATCCATCAGCCCTTCACCACGAGGAAGGTTGAAGTCTTCTGCAGAACAATGCCAAAAAGCCAAGAGCAGAGGAAGGACTCAACGTGTTTATGAACCCTGAGGTGTGAGTCAGACCCTCCCACGGTCTGATGGCCACCTTCCTCTCCTTCCCCAGCAGCTCCACGGGAAACACGTGCCTAAAAATAGGCCTGAGGTGGCTGGATGTGTGCTGGGGATCCAGAAGGATGTCCTAGGCAGGATATCCTGATAAAGCAGCCACTTCACTTTGGGATAGACCTTTAACCTCCCTTCTGTGACACTGGGAAGGCTTTGCAAGTCCCCAAGTGCTGCTTTTTCTCCTGAGGATCAGCACCAGCTGCTGAATAAGGTGCATGGGAACACCTGGAATGACAAGCAGAACTTGCATCTTCCAAATCACCTTGAGAAGTGGAGCAAGGGGCACCACTGGTACTGATCATTGAATCATGGGATGGTTTGGGTGGGATGGGACTTTTAAAGCTTATCCAGTCCAAACCCTCTGCAGTGATCAGGGATATCCCCAACTAGAGCAGGGTGCTCAGAGCTCCATCCAACCTCACCTGGGATGGTGCCAGGGATGGGGCAGTGACCACCTCTCTGGGCAGCCTGGGCCAGGGGCTCCCCACCCTCAGTGTCAAAAATTCCTTTTCTCTAGTCTAAATCTCCCTCTTTTAGTTTAAAACCATTATCCCTTGTGCTGGCCCAACAGGCCCTGCTCAAAAGTCCATCCCCAGCTTTCTGACAGGCCCCTTGAAGTCCTGAAAGGCCACCAGGAGGTCTCCACAGAGCCTCCTCTTCTCCAGGCTCCGCTTATTTGCCAGAAGGCTACATTTGCATGATGGACAAGCAAGCAGTGATGAAGAAGCCCATATATATGTCTAAAAAAGCTGATATATAAACTGTGTATAAACTTCTCCTGCCTTTGCCTTCATGAGGACGTTGACCAATGGATTTAAGTAACTGCATCTCCACTGATCACAGGACACTTCAGGTCAAGGATCCTCATCTCCATTCTCAATGCTACTGGTGTGAAGAACTTTGTGGCACTCTCAGGTCCTCCCAGTGAGGATGGAGAAACCCTGGGGACCGTGCAGCCAGCAGAGCTGGTGGGATCTGATGCTGTGGGGAAAGAGAAGGCTTGATCCCAGCCCCTGAGCTGGAGAGTTGATCTAAACTCAAGCTTAAAATAGCTTCCTCCTTTCATTTCTCTTCCAGTTATGTTTCTGTTAACTTTGCAGGGTCATAAGACTGAT